TGAGTCTATGATAGTGCAGTGTTGTTTGTTTCATAAAGTAACGTAGTAATACGTGGATCAGTCCAACCCACTGTTGTAAGCGCGTCTGCTGTCGTTTTGTGTTTTAAAGTCCTTTGGCAGCAGATCGGTGTCTTGTCTTGCTAGTGAAACTAATTATGGTGAAATTGAATTGGCTGGAAGAGGCTGAAGTGTGTCTATATTTGGCTGCTGTACATTATGACTGTCCTTTGTGTTGGACCAGTCTGCGAGCTGAGTGTCTTTACGGTGTGTCACAGAGCCGGTTATCGACTTAGTGATGATGAATCCCTTTCTTTCTCTATCACTCTCTCTCTCTCTTTATCCCCCTCTCCTCTCTCTCAGTGCGGGCGTTGGTCGGACAGGGACCTTTGTCGTGATCGACGCCATGCTGGACATGATGACGTCCGAGCGGAAGGTTGACGTGTTCGGCTTCGTCACTCGAATCCGAGCGCAGCGCTGCCAGATGGTGCAGACTGATGTGAGCACAAATTCCCAAAGAAAATGTTTCCTAGCACACCCTCAACATCCTCGCACACCCCCAACACATCCAAGCACCGGCCCAGGCGAGTCCGGACTCCTCTATATCTGAAGATAAACCCCAACACATCTAAACTTGACCCTGTCACAAACAGAATCATCTCCAAACCTGGAACCAACCCCGACACTCCTCCTCAAACGAGTCCTCCACAAACCTACCTGCAGTAAAAAAACAAACCCTAAAAGAACCCGACTTGTCCGCATCCAAAATTAACCCCGTCTGAGTCAAAAATGAACCTGGGCACATCCCAGAAAAACGTAACGTGTTCTAAAATCAACTCTGACACATACAAAGTCTCGTGCATCCTCTTTGCACCTCCTGTATCTCCTCTCTGCACCTCCTCTATCTCCTCTCTGCTTCTTCTCTATCTCTGCTCTGCACCTCCTCTATCTCCTCTCTGCACCTCCTATATCTCCTCTCTGCACCTCCTCTATCTCCTCTCTTCACTTCCTCTGTCTCCTTTCTTCACCTCCTGTATCTCCTCTCTTCACCTCCTCTATCTCCTCTCTTCACTTCCTCTGTCTCCTCTCTTCACTTGCTGTATCTCCTCTCTGCAACTCCTCTATCTCCTCTCTTCACCGCCTGTATCTCCTCTCTCTCCCTCCCTCTTTCTTCTCTTTTTCTCATTCTCTTAAACTCCCTCCCCCTGCAATTTCTCTCTCTCTCTCTCTCTTTCTCTCTCTCTCTCTCTGGCTCTATCTCTTTTACTAAACCTCCCTCCTCTCTCTGCAGATGCAGTACGTGTTTATATTCCAGGCCATGCTAGAACACTACCTGTACGGGGACACCGAGCTGGAGGTGACATCACTGGAGTCTCACATGGCCAAGCTCTACTCTCCTTCCCCTGGGGCGGGCTGCAGCGGGCTGGAGGCAGAGTTTAAGGTCAGGGCCCCGCCCAGCTGTCAGTGATTGGTCTGGCTCTGTGCATGATGTGGGAAGGTCTCGTCTGCTGGAGTGGCTCCATCCGGCCACTCACAGATCAAAGCCATTATGAGGAGTCGTGCGCTTTTTCATTCAGATTTTGCAGAGAATACTTTGCAAGTGCACAGCTAAAACCAAGGGTGAGCAACCCTACCCCTGGGGGCTACAGTGTCAGCAGGTTTTTGTTGTTAGTATTTAATTGATAAAATAAAACAGATTATTATGATTAAATTGCCTCACCTTGTCAACTGGTCATAAATTGGCAGATGAAAACAAAAATTAGCAGACACTGTAGCCCTGCAAGACCAAGGTTGGCTACCCCTGTTTTGGACATAATTTATCGCTAGGGCTACCTTGGTCACCCTCCCTTTTTGAGCTTCTTGTGTCTAGAAATCCATGACGAATAAAACCAACCGACTCCCGCTTTCCCGCTGACCTCCCACCCCACTACAGAAACTGACCTCCATCAAGATCCAGAACGACAAGATGAGGACAGGGAACCTGCCGGCCAACATGAAGAAGAACAGAGTTCTGCAGATCATTCCCTGTGAGTGTGTGGGCGGGGCCGGCAGGGATGGGCCTATGGGGGCAGGCTGGGAGGCGGGGCTGACACTGAGGGCACTCCTGCTAACGGACTTCCACTCTCCTCACCTGCAGACGAGTTTAATCGGGTCATCATTCCGGTCAAGAGGGGAGAGGAGAACACAGATTACGTGAATGCATCCTTCATCGACGTGAGTTACCGCAGGAAACAGCCCTGGTGCTATCGGGGCGAATACTTAGCAGCTATGGTCCTGTGCTGAGCCCCGTTTTCACTCTGAACCATGGGCATTGAACTGTACGGGAGAGCTGTTACCTGCAGTATTGACTCCAGTCCTGGAGGGTCACAGTACCGGCACGTTCTCTAGATCTCCCTGCAATCTGCAACTAGTTTAGACCTTTGAAACGAGCCATGATATGGGAATTATGTTTAAAGAACCAGTTAAATGCCATAACAGTGGTTTTGGTGTTGTTGCTATATGCAGCAGTTTTGGCAATGACGGCGAGTGATTACAGATGACATTGGCAATTGAAATCTGCTGCTTAATTGGCACGCTATTCAGTGCGCTGTGTGGACATTCAGGTGAAAAGAACGAGGATTTAGAACACGGGTTCTCAAATCTGGACCTCTGATTTAAATCCAGCCCTGGTTTTCTTTATTCCCGGGTTATTAACTGAACAGACAGCAATGCTGATTGGCCAGACTGTCATCACTCCCAACTCCCAGGTAAAGGCAGGGTGGAAACCGAGCAGTTCTCTTCCCTCAAGGACTATGATTGGAGGAACTTGGATTTAGAAAGGATTGACTGTGGCCTTGATGTTTTACATCTCTCTCTCTCTCTCTGTCTCTCTCACCACCCCCCTCTGCTGCAGGGTTACCGGCAGAAGGACTCGTACATGGCCAGCCAGGGCCCCCTGCAGCACACCATCGAGGACTTCTGGAGGATGATCTGGGAGTGGAGGAGCTGCTCCATCGTCATGCTGACGGAGCTGGAGGAGAGGGGGAGCTGGAGGAGAGGGGTCAGGTACGGAGGAGAGGGATAGAGGGATGTAAGGAGTAGTGGAGGGGTCAGGTATGGAGGGAGGGATAGAGGGATGGTATGGAGGGACGGGGAGAGGGAGAGGGATGTAAGGAGTAGTGGAGGGGTCAGGTACGGAGGGAGGGATAGAGGGATGTAAGGAGTAGTGGAGGGGTCAGGTACGGAGGGAGGGATAGAGGGATGTAAGGAGTAGTGGAGGGGTCAGGTACGGAGGGAGGGATAGAGGGGGAGGAGTAGTGGAGGGGTCAGGTACGGAAGGAGGGATAGAGGGATGTAAGGAGTAGTGGGGGGTCAGGTACGGAGGGAGGGATAGAGGGATGTAAGGAGTAGTGGAGGGGTCAGGTACGGAGGGAGGGATAGAGGGATGTAAGGAGTAGTGGAGGGGTCAGGTACGGAAGGAGGGATAGAGGGATGTAAGGAGTAGTGGAGGGATCAGGTACGGAGGGAGGGATAGAGGGGTTGAGGGAGGGATAGAGAGAAGAAGGGAGTTGGGGAGGGATCCAGTATGGAGGCACAGGAAGGGGGAGAGGTAGGGCGCATGGAAGTGTTTAATCATTATTACACCAGTTAGTTTATTTGATTGAGAGTAAAGGTTTATAAGCCTTTATGACGGCTCTGTCCATTTTCTCTGTGACTCACTTATTAAGCCTCTCTCTTTCACCTCCCTCTCTGAATTCCTCACTCACTGTCTCTCCCTCTCTCCTGCCCCCTCCATTACTTCCTCCTTTCCCTCTCCCTTCCTTTTTCCCTCACTCTTCCTCTCCCACACTTCTTCTTTCCTCCTTCCCTCTATCTCTCCCTCCCTCCCTCCCTCTGTCTCTCCTGCAGGAGAAGTGTGCCCAGTATTGGCCCAGTGACGGGGCCCTGGTTTGCGGGGACATGTCCATTGAGCTGAAGAGAGAGGAGGAGAGTGAGAGTTACACAGTGAGAGATCTCTTTGTGACCAACAACAGGGTGAGCCTGGCGTCTGTCACTCACAAACTACAGGAGCACTGTGTCCAGCCCCTTCTCTAACACACAAACTAAAACAGCACTGTATTCAGTCCACACTTTTACACACAAACTACATCAGCACTGTGTTCAGCCCCTACTTTTATGCATACGCTACAACAGCAGCGTATTGAACTCCTACGGTTACACGCAAGCTACAATCACGCTGTACGCAGCCCCTGCTGTTAAACACAAAATAAAACAGCTCCGTGTTCAGCCCCTACTGTTACACACAAACTATAACAACACTGCTCGATGCCATTGTTCGACAGAAACAACAGAAACGATCCGAAGCGCGACCCCTCTGTTCCACACAAACTTTAGACGCACTGCCCTTCTGTTGAACTTTACTGTTCCACTCAGTTGTGCTGCTGCCCTGTATTCTGCCTCACAAAATGGCTCCTGTGTCTCGCCGCTTGTGCTCCCCAGGAGAACAAGTCCCGCGCCGTGCGGCAGTTCCACTTCCACGGCTGGCCCGAGGTGGGCATTCCGACGGACGGCAAGGGCATGATCAACATCATCGCAGCTGTACAGAAGCAACAGCAGCAGTCTGGCAACCACCCCATCACCGTGCACTGCAGGTAACCGACTGCCCCTGGGGGAACGGAGCTCCTCGCTCCAGTCTTGTTGTTTACATCGATCTCTAATCCAGGATCGGTCCTCGAGCGCCGACAGTGTTTACTCGCACCCTCCGGTTCTAGTATCTTCTCAGAAATACCCGCACTCCATCTGTCCTCTGCTTGTCACGGTCAGGAAGGTCCGGGTTTTTACTCAGTCGAACCGCTGAGCCCGACACCCAGGGGTGCGAGGCCTGTTCAGCATTACAGCTGCGTTTATGTATTGCTGCGCGCTGTTCTAGTTGCCAAAATCGAGGCTTCCAAAATGGTATGCTGAGACCAATGGGTGCTTTGTCCATCTTTTTATTCAGTCTATGATTGCTATCGACTCTGGGCGGCACTGTGGTGCAGTGGTTAGCACTGCTGCCTCGCAACAAGAAGCTCGTGTGTTTGAATCCGGCCTGGGGCACTTTCTGTGTGGAGTTTGCATGCTCTCCCCATGTTTGCTTGGGTTTCCCCGGGATACTCCGGTTTCCTCCCACAGTCCATGTCAGGCTAATGGGAGATGCTAAATTGCCCATTGGCATGAGTGTTTGAGTGAATGGTGTGCGAGTGGTGTGTGCGTCCTGCGATGGATTGGCGAGCTGTCCAGGGTGGGTTTCTGCCTTTTGCCCAGAGTCAGCTGGGATAGGGTGCAGCTCCCCTATGACCATAGTGAGGAAGAAGCGGTATAGAGCATGGATCGATAGATGGATGGACACTAACTCTGTGGAGTTAGAAATCAATCGTATGAACTCACCCAGGCGTTCATCTTTCACAACAGTGTTTGTCTTTCGCACCAAGAGAGCCTGGTCCCTTAAGAGCAAAGATGGGTTGAGCTTCACCATTTTGCCAACAGATGAGTGAGCTTATACGTATCACTTTGAGAACACCGGTCCCCAATGACAAATTGACATAATGTTGGACCTGTAACGCACTACAGTGCCAGATATTATCAAAAGACAGATGGAATCCAGTCAAATCTGGTTGCTTGAAGTGCATGACCGGAAACCATTTCCAAATCTGCGTGGTCTTTGATCCCTAAGATGTCACAGTCCTAGGAGCTGTAATTTGACTGTAATGGATATCACACCATGGGCTGAGACATACTTTGGCAAACTTTTTCTAAGTCAGCACCGTGCCCTGCAGCATCTAAAGGTGCAGGGTGAAGCTTTACTGTGTACTGCTACATCCGCGCATCAGCACTGTCCAAAAGTACCGCCGAAGTCTATGGGCTCAATGTCATCTGAAGACAGTTGTGCAGTGTAGGTGCGTTATGTGCTCTGACGAGTCAGCTTTTCAATTTGCTGCCTTGTTCTCTGAACCAAAGACGACAATAACCTAACCTTTTTGGTCAAAAATCCAGCATCTGTCATAGTCTGGGGTTTTATCACTGCACATAGCATGGGTGCTCCGCACAATGCAAGGGCACCATTAATGCAGAAAGGTATATATGAAGATGTTGTCTGTTGCAGGGCCATCCCTGTATTTTCTTGCGAGACGATGCCTAACCACATTCTCCATGGATTACAAACGCTTGGCTGTACAAGCAGAAAGTGCAGGTGCTAGATTGGCCTGCCTGCAGTCCTGATTTGTCCCTGATCGAGAACGTATGGCACATTATGAAGAGAGTTTGTTGAGTGTAGAGTCTGTGTGAGTTAACACTGCTGTTCCTCTCTGTGTGGCAGTGCGGGGGGCAGGGCGTACTGGAACGTTCTGTGCCCTGAGTACGGTGCTGGAGCGGGTGAAGGCCGAGGGGATTCTGGACGTGTTTCAGACGGTCAAGAGCCTGAGACTGCAGCGGCCGCACATGGTGCAGACACTGGTGAGTAATGCGGCAACGCCTGCTACCACGACAACGCCCACTACCATGGCAACATCCTACCTTGGTTACACCCGCTATAATGGCAACACCCCTTGACACAGCAACAACCGCTACCACGACACCCGCTACCATGGCAACACCTGGTACAATGGAAACACCCGCTATCATGACAAAACCCATTACTATGGCAACACCCGCTACCAAAGGCAACTCCCCCTGTTGCAGCAACACTTGCTACCACAGCAACACCCACTACCATAGCAAAACCTGTTATCAAAGCACCAGGGAACCACAGCAACGCACGCTACCACGGCAACACCTGCTGACAGCAACACCGGTTACCACAGCAATGCAGGCCTCCACAGGTACACATTGCTGCCGTGGCAACTGTCGCTCCCACACCAACTCCCATTACTGGTTGCTTTGCTCACAGATGCATTCAGCTGGTTTGAGTTGTGAGTTCTGTGTGCGGTCATGTACTCTGTGGTGTTATTTCCTCTGATACTGATGCTAAGGCTGCTGAGGCTACATGGTGTTCATCTTTGTTCTAATCTCTCTCTCTTTATCTCTCCGTCTCTCGTCTTGATCACAGGAGCAGTATGAATTCTGTTACAAAGTGGTCCAGGAGTACATTGATGCCTTCTCTGACTATGCCAACTTCAAGTAAGGGAATGAACGGCAGAACGCGTGGACGGACAGACGCACACGACCATCCATCTCTGCCCGGCTCGGAGGAGGAAAGGGCGGGTAAAAACACCGGCCCAGAAGAACAGATCCTGAGAAAGGGAAGGAAGGAATGATTTGAGGTGGCGAGATGGGACGGACAGGCGTCTGCTGAGAAGAATATCAGAGATGCCTTCTTGAAAATTTTGTAATATTGATCTTGTTAATACAGCCTGCCCCCACTTTTCCCCCACTGTAAATATCCTCACCCTGTCGGAGTTTTTTTTTTTTTTTTTTTTAACTTTTTTTTTGTTGCAGTTGTTTCTGTCAGGCTGCAATTTAGGTCGTCATATACTATGTAGCTTTTTGTTTATATATATATATAAATATATAAATATAAATATATTATATTTTAGAGGCTGATGAGAATAAGGACTAAGGGGATGGGTGTCGGGGCTTTTCGTTGTATGATTTTTTTTTTTTTGATATTGAGTTACTGAGACTCAAATGATTGACAGCTCAACCTGGCTCATGCTGTAGTTTGTATCCAAATAGCTGGTTGACGAGATTCGACTCGTGGAACGACTGTGAGTACACCAAACGAGTCAATCACGATTCCTTTGTTAGATGCTGACACCCGTCCCGCCCCCCTCTCGCTATGTGCCAGGTGCAACGCCTCCTTACCGATTGGCGAGTGGTGTTTTGACCAATCATGACGGCTTCTCAAATTGGAAAGGTCCATTTTTTTAGCGAATCACGACTCCTCTGACCAAAGTGCGGGAAGTCAAGTGATTGCCGCGGTGCTGCGAAATTTGCCAAATCAAGTTACGACTACGGTGCAACAAATTGATAAGCTCGGGCTTATCAGCTCGCTGAAATGTTTACCTGCGGGTGAGACGTGGTGAACAGTGCCCCCTGGTGTTTATCGCAAAAAAGTTGTTAAATAATACAAAGCACAGCTATTCCTTTCTCACGATCGCCACACGCCTTGGGGATACTGTGTATCCAAAAGGCAGGTAACCTACGAACCGATACGGCAACATTGAGACAAATTGCCCCAGGAGGATCCAGGCTTGTGCGACGGCGCTCGGTGCCAAATCTGCGTCGTTTGTCAGAGTGTGTAACCAGTGCTGCCGTATGCAGAGGTTGTATATTGCAGTCGTTTTTTTGCGTCAGCAGAAGAGGTGGAATTGCGTAGCGTAACGCTGAACTCCGGAGATTCACGTTAAGAATATAAACCGCAGTGCTTTCGCTGGTTTACCACCTGGCCTTTGATCCCCTGGCCAATGGCGGGAGATGGGGAGAGATTGTGTTGAAAGACGAGTGTATTGGGTGGATAGAGGAGCCTTTCTTTCTGACACATAGAAAGGGTTGGAGAGAAGTGAGGAGCCCTCTGGTCGATTGAGATTTGGATGAGGTGTGCCTTTGTGAGTGTGCTCAAAGGAGTGTGTGTGTGTGTGTGTGTGTGTGTGTGTGCGCGCGCAGGTGTGAGTGGAAAGAGACAAAGAGGCGGAGAGAGGGGGAGAGAGGGGGAGAGTGAAAGAGGTCCACCAACCATAGCAGCACTTAAACTATATCGCAGTTTGGGTCGGGTGAGCGTCACTTAGAACCGAGTTCATGTCAGTCAGATTCTGTGTGACGTCTTTTTAAACTAGGAATGTCATTATTAATTTAGCTGATATCCGTACTGTGGCTCTGTGTTTTACGGTCTCTGCTGTATGTACAGCATGCAAGCAGCTGGCTATCCACCTGACTTCTAACATTTTGTTTTCAGTTCGCTTCTCTGGTATATTGTGGGGGTTGATCACAGCTGAACTCGTAAAGGTGGTGTGTTTGGTTCTGGAATTGTTTTGGAGCTGTTGGTTGCCAACTAGAGTCTAGATTTCTCAGTTTACAAACTGGACTAGTTCCGAGCACTGACTTCTAGGTAGAGAAAAGACCAAAACCAAAGACTTGGTCATGGATTTGGTGGTTTTGGGGTGAAGTGATTGAAGGGGGTGTGCTTCTGGAATTGGAGCTGCAAATTTAGGCATTTGTCAGTCCTGTTTGAGGTTTGATTGAACTGACCTCATGGGCAGATTGGCTGGGTGTGCTTCAGGTGCTGTGTTTGTGAAGAAGAGGGTATTCCCGTGTCCTTGCTCTGATTTTATAGCCCAGCTCTCCGTGTAAACCAGGGCGTCCAGCAGTGGTTTTGCTGGTGCTAATTTTCAGTTTTACTTAAACGTATTTTACTTTTTTAAAATGGCGGGTACCTGTCTGTGTCCTGGCGAAATCTATCTGGTGCGGGCGTGTTTGTGTGTGTGCGTGCATGAGTAGCGCATTCCTGCGTGTGTTTGTCAGCATAAGTGTTTGTCTGCTCCTGCCTACATTTGTGTGTGTGTGTGTTCGTGTATTTGTGCACATAAGTGTGTGTCTACCTGCATATATTTGTGTGTGTGTGTGTGTGTGTGTGTGTGTGTGTTGTGCACCCTGACCCTCCCACACCCATCCTAGTCTTTTCTTGTCAGCTTGGCAGCACTGTGCCAACGCCCTCTATGTAGCTCCTGCGGCTGCATTCCCGCTCCCTGTTCCAGCCCGTTCCACATGCACGCTCTGCTTTTCAGTGCAAACGCTGGAGGTTTTCACCCATGTAGCACACGCAGTGGCTCGGCCTGCTGTAATGGCTTATTCTGCCTTGAGTCAAAGGCACTGGGTTACGCGGTCGCTATCGGAGGCCTGGCATCCGTCTGCTTCATAGGCTTGTGCTGATACGTCCACAGCAAAGGGTCAAACTGCCCGAAAATACTTCCCAACTTCACGAATCCCAGCTCCCTTCTGCCTCCACTCTGGGGCCACATTGGATTTATTTCTACTTGTATTATTGTCAGTTCTGCTTCAGATCATCGTCAGATTTTTTGATATATTTTTTTTTTCCCAATGCGATTCGGTTCTGAAACATTTTC